TTGCGTTCTAACGCCATCTATTGCGTTCTAACGCCATCTATTGCGTTCTAACGCCATCTATTGCGTTCTAACGCCATCTATTGCGTTCTAACGCCATCTATTGCGTTCTAACGCCATCTTTTGCGTTCTAACGCCATCTTTTGCGTTCTAAAGAAATCTAATGTAACCTAATGCAATCTAATGTAACCAAAAGCAATCTAATGTTTACAACCTAATGCATTCCAATTCAATCTAATGTAACCTAATGCAATCTTAAGTAACCTAATGCAATGTAATGTAATCTAATGTAAACTAATGCAATGTAGTGCAATCTAATGCAACATAATAAAATCTAATGTACCTACCCTAATTCAATTTAATGCATTCTAATGAATTGTAATGAAATCTATTGGAATCAAATGAAAACTTGATGCATTCTAATATGTTCTAATTCAATTTATGCTCTAATTCAGTCTATTCAATTTTACCGAATTAGGTTGGCTTGAATTGGGCTGGAATGATTTGATTTGGGTTGAATTAAATTATGTTGGATTGAATTGGGTTGGGTTGAACTGAGTAGGGTGTGGTTGAATTTGGTTGGGTTGAATGGGGTGTGGTTGAATTGGGTGTGGTTGAATTGGGTTGTGTTGAATTGGTTTTGGTTTAATTGGGTTGGGTTTGGTTAGATTGGGTTGGGTTTGGTTAGATTGGGTTGGGTTTGGTTAGATTGAGTTGGGTTAAATTTGGTTAGGATGAGCTGGGTTAGGTTGCATAGGGAAGGATTGGATGGATTTGAATTGGGATCGATTGGGCAGGGTTGAATTGACTTGGGTTGTAATGGCTTGGGTTGAATTGGGTCGAATTGGTCATGATTGCATTGGGTTGGGTTGGGTTGAATAGGTTTGGGTTTCAAGTATAAGGCTCTTGGGTTCAGTTGGGTTTGGGTTGGGTGGGTTTGACTGCATTGGGTTGGGTTCAGTTAGATTAGGTTTGGTTCAGTTAGATTAGGTTGGGTTGAATTTGGCTGGAATGAATTGGGTTGGCTTGGTTTGGGTTTGGTGACCTGGGTTAGGATTTGGTACGAGCTATGGAGCATAGTTCAGGCGGCTAGACCAACAATGTAGTCTGTTCATTTAAAATGATTCATCACAAACTGCTTTGTCATCCATCGTCAGTGCCATGAGGCTCTCTCAAGTATATGCACTCAGAACCATCAGGACTGCACGCTACATCTTGTCTTTGGTGCATGAAATCGGTGTCCTCAACCTATGTTGTGCCACGCTTTACAGTCTGGTGGACAGCATGGTCACTTTGACTAAACTATGAGACTATACTATAGTGTATATCCTAAGTCAGGGCTGGAGAAGTCCTAATTTTTCTTAAATATTGTTGCTTTAATATCATATAATTTCAGTAGGTATGAAATATTGCGGCTTTAATATCATAAATTATTGTTTAATTGAAAAAATTGCAGTTTGAAAAAAATCACAGTTTGCACTTCGCAAACATATTGTTTCATAAAATTTTCAACTTCCACAATCTGCAGTACAGTATATATACTTCAATGCTGCTGCCTCCTGCCAAAATAACATGCAGTATAGTCAGATGGGGTATGACAGGACCAAAATCACTAACAAGCCTGTAGCATCTGTACCATGAATAACTAAAAAACCCTAAACCTATCACAAGGTGTAGTTATGCAATATGCCTCTAAGCTACAACTCAGACATTTTGCATCTAACATAGTTTTCTGTACAGATTAAAAACAGTGAGCTGGTCCCATCTTACCCCATTGGGGTAAGATGGGACCAGGCTGGGGTAAGAAAGGACCAACTGGTAATTCTTATGTTAGAAGGTTTTTAATAAAAGTACAAATCTGATATTCAATATTATCCATCTAGAAACTCATTATTTGATTAAACAACCACTTTTTACTGTTATGTGTGGTGGGAAGTCAACTCTAATATCAGTCACATTGAAGTTTTTGTCACGAGAAAACTTTGTTAAGCATAGAAATAGTGGGTTGGCTTTGGTGCATTGTAGAGCACTGCTAAATGCTTCATGTATATTCCATTAGTGTAATTATCTGAAAAATTTATCAAATTGGTAGTAAAACCAATGGATAATAACTTAAGTGTCAGATGTCATTGTTTTCTTGCTAACTGCTTTTGTGGTGTACTTCTTCAAACATAGCTCATGCCCTCTCACAGAGTTGTGATCATAATTATTTTTCATGTTTCACACAGTGATTTTTCCCCCAGCCAATCTTGCACACAGTTCTGCAGCTCACTAATGGGAATAGACATCCCAATTTTATATATCACTTTGATGCAATTTAAAATAGTGCACTAAATTTCTCTAATTAAAAAAGCTAACAAGTTATAATGAAGTTTGAGCATAAGACAAAAATTTTGACCAAAATACTCCATGTCCTACACGATAATACACGATAATATATTCATTTAAAAACTATTTTTGATAAACTGTAGGGTAATAGAGGACCATTTGTGGAGTAAGACAGGAAAATTTGTGGAGTAAGACAGGAAAATTTGTGGGGTAAGATAGGACCACTTGTGTGGTAAAACAGGATCATTTAGTGGTCCTGTCTTACCCCATGTCCGGTCCTTTTTTATCCCATTTTAGAATACATGTCAGGCAGTGATGGTAGCAGGTAGGAATGCCTAGTATGTCTAAAAAGTTGCTTATTACTTGAGGTTACCTGCCTACATCCACAAACCTGGCCAAAAAAATTTTTGTAATCAGACAGAGCTTATTTCCCAAATAGGGTTAACTATTTTGTGACCCTTCTTTAACATAGGTTTTCTTTGAAAATTAACCAAAAATTCATTATTTGCAAAAGAGGGTTGAAACAAGCACTGAAATGACAGGCAATGATTGCTCTAACATATTCTTTTGTCAAATTAAATTCAGTGCAATTAGAATGCATGCCATTGGCCAATCCTTTCTTACCCCATGAAGGCTGCGATCCTGTCTTACCCCATTTGACTATACATAATAACAAGTCCCAAAACTGTTCCTTGAAGATCAAGTAGTTGCGGGCACGTCAGACTAGTAAGAGTGGCCAAACTGCATTATCACTTGTTCAGTTGTCGCTTAAGTGAACTTTAGTGAAGACAAATGTTAGTGACTGTTTTCAGAGTAAAATTAGAGATGTGGGGTAACACATGCATGGGACTTTGTTAAAATAACAAGTAGGGGTTTTCAATTACAAGGCTGAGATATGGAATTCATGGCTCAAAGAAATGGAATCAGAGTTGGCAAACTGGCCAAACCCATAATACCACAGCTCACAAAATCCAGTCAGGGGCTCAGGGCTTGCCATGTAGATATATTCCATGCCTGGCCCCAGACTGTAGAGCATGGCACAACATAGGTCGAAGATGCAGATTTCATGCACCAAAGACGCCGAGGGGGATGCCACTGGACGCCGGTCGCCAATTATGCTTCTCCATAAATTGCGATTTACGATCGATATGGCCGATGCGCCATATTGATCTACACGCAACGATCGTAACTATGTGCTGTAGCGCATAGTTCCAATGGCTGTGAGAGCTACATTTGAGCACCCAAGCATACGAGCTCACAGCCACCTGAACTACGCGATGTAGCGCGCAGTTCCTGCGCCTGTGAGAGCTACATTTGAGCACCCAAGCATACGAGCTCATAGCCACCTGAACTACGCGATGTAGCGCACAGTTCCACACCCAAGCATACGAGCTCATAGCCACCTGAACTATGCGATGTAGCACGCAGTTCCGGCGCCTGTGAGAGCTACATTTGAGCACCCAAGCATACGCGCTCAGAGACAGCGGAACTACTCTACGCGGTGTAGCGCGCAGTTCCCATGGTTCTAAGTGCATGTATTTGAGTGCTTGCATTGAGAGAGCCTCATGGCACTGACAATGGATAACAAAGCAGCTTGTGGTAAATCATTTTAAATAAACACTACATCATTAGTCTTGTCACCTGAACCAAGCCAACCCAATTCAACCTCACCCAATTCATCCCAACCAAATTCAAACAACCTTTATTTAACTGAACCCAAGCCAATCTAACTGAACCCAACCCAATGCAACCAAACCCAACCCAACCCAGTGCAACCCAATCCAATTCAGCCAAACCCAACCCAATGCAATCCTAACCGATTCAACACAAACCATTACAACCCAAGCCTAACCAATTCAACTCAAGCCATTACAAACCAAACCAATTCAACCCAACCCAATTGATCCCAATTCAAATCAACCCAATCCTTCCCAATGCATCCGACCCAATTCATCCTAACCGAATTTAACCCAATTGATCCCAATTCAAATCAACTCAACCCTTCCTAATGCAACCCAGCCCAATTCATCCTAACAAAATTTAACCCAACCCAATCTAACCAAACCCAACCCAATTCAACCAAAATCAATTCAACTCAGCCCAATTGATCCCAATTAAAATCAACCCAATCCTTCCCAATGCAACCCAACCCAATTCATCCTAACCATATTTAACCCAACCCAATCTAACCAATCCCAACCCAATCTAACCAAAACCAATTCAACCCAACCCAATTTAATCCAACCAAATTCAACCCCACCTAACTCAACTCAATCAAAATTAAATTAAACTCAACCCAATTAAACCACATTCAACCAAAACCAATTTAACTTGTTCCAACTTGATTCAACTCAATTCAACCACACCAACTCAATTCAACCCAACCAAATTCAACCCTAATCAAATCATTCCAGCTCAACTCAAGCCAACCTAATTGAGTAAATTTAAATAGACTGAATCAGAATGTGTAAGAATGCATTGAGATTTTATTTTATTGCACTAGATTCCATTGCAATGCATTAGAATGCACAGAACGCTTTAAATTTAATTAGGGTACCTATATTAGATTTCATTTGGTTACATTAGATTGTATTACATTGCATTAGGTTACTTAATATTGCATTAGAATGCTTTAGATTGCAGTAGAAAGTGTCAGTTTGAATTTGAAAGCATTAGATTGTATTAGTTTATATTAGATTGAATTAGAATACATTAGATTGCGCATTAGAATGCATTAGGTTACATTAGAATGCCTTAGGCTACATTAAATTGCCTTGGGTTACATTAGATTGCCTTGGGTTATATTAAATTGCTTTAGAGTGCAATAGATCGAGTTAGAATGCTATAGATCGCGTTAGAACGCTATAGATCGCGTTAGAACGCTATAGATCATGTTAGAACGCTATAGATTGCATTAGAACGCTATAGATTGCATTAGAACGCAGTAGATTGCATTAGAATGCAATAGATCATGTTAGAATGCAATAGATCGCGTTAGAACGCAATAGATCGCGTTAGAACGCAATAGATCACGTTAGAACGCAATAGATCACGTTAGAACGCAATAGATCGCGTTAGAACGCAATAGATCGCGTTAGAACGCAATAGATCACGTTAGAACGCTATAGATCGCGTTAGAACGCTATAGATTGCGTTAGAACGCAATAGCTTGCATTAGAATGCAATAGATCATGTTAGAACGCAATAGATCGCGTTAGAACGCTATGGATTGCGTTAGAACGCAATAGATTGCATTAGAATGCAATAGATTATGTTAGAACGCGTTAGAACGCTATAGATCGCGCTAGAATGCAATATATCGCGTTAGAACGCAATAGATCACGTTAGAACGCAATAGATCGCGTTTGAACGCAATAGATTGCGTTAGAACACAATAGACCGCGATGGAATGCAATAGATTGTGTTTAAATGGAATAGATTGCATTTAAATGCAATAAATGGCGCTAAAATGCAATAGATCTCGTTGGAATGTAATAGATCGCGTTAAAATGCAATATATCAAGTAAGAACGCAATAGATCGCGTTAGAACGCAATATATTGCGTTAGAACGCAATAGACCGCGTTAGCATGCAATAGATCACATTCGAATACAATAGAACACGTTAGAACACAATAGATTGCGTTAGAACACAATACATTGCGTTAGAACACAATAGATCACGTTAGAACACAATAGATCACGTTAGAACACAATAGATCATGTTAGAACACAATAGATCGCATTAGAACACAATAGATCACGTTAGAACACAATAGATCACGTTAGAACACAATAGATCACGTTAGAACACAATAGATCACGTTAGAACACAATAGGTCGCATTAGAACACAAGAGATCACGTTAGAACACAATAGATTGACAAGTTTTTTCAGCAGTAGCATTGGGCTTGCCAGACCTATGCACATTGTGATCGGGTGACAGATACAAGCAATCAAACAAGCTGAAGATGGGCGCGGTGCGGCGGTGACAGCAGGGCTGATCAAGCAATCTATATTCTATAGTTTATGATCGGTCATGGCTGCATGAGCCATAGTTTATGATTGGCCATGGTCCATGGACGCCGATTTAAGGTCGATGTGGCTGATGAAGAGCTTGAAAAGACGCCAATATCTCGAGCTGAAAGGCCCTACTCTACAGCCTGGGCCTGGCCTAGGTGGTTCTGAGAATCTTAGTCATTTTCCAGTCAAACATTTTTTTCCCTAAAACATAGGTAAAGGAAATCTAACATTTTTTCAAAATCCCACATGAAACAATCTTTTTATAAGCAACCTTTGAAAAATTCTGCTCAATACATGAATACAATAGGGCTAGGCTATTAGTATATTACAAATTCAATTGGATTGGAGTAATTTGACTGTACTCAGTGTACTGTAAAAGCATGTCTGGCATGATCATGAGGATGTCAGAGGCTCAGACAGTCAGGCCAAGCTTAAGCTGGGCTTAGCCAGCTAATTTAGAATTGCAGTCTGCAGATAATGAAATAAAAATCTTAATACAGTTAACATGGCGATGCATTAGTTCTTAGTCAACATTTAATTTTTTACCATAGATTGTAAGTTTTAAAGTTAAATGTTAGGCTACCTTAGTTCTTCAGCTGATAAAAGACCGATTCTTTCCATTTCCTCTAATTCAGGAATCATTTCCTCCATTTTTTTCTCCACAAGTTCTGCCATGGTTGTGAAGATATTATCTCACTCAATTTCTCACAAAATGTTTGAAATAAACACGTTAATTACGGTAGTTAACTACACTCAGACGTCTGTCGCGCTCGCACGCAGTACCAGTGACGCAGTCAACTTAGTCAGGTGAGGACCAGTGACCTCTAGCGCTAGCCTCTCACGTGTGGCGACAGCCGCAATAATCTCAAAAGTCCGAAACCTGACTTTCCGATCCTCTAAAAAGGCCGGATTCGGTGCTGCACAATTCTATGGCTGATGGCCGAATTTCACTTATTTTAGGATGTTTAGATTTGTATTCGAAGATGGAAAAAGCTCATATTTATCTGAATCGTACAGATTATTTTTGAAATTTATCACAGCTCAGGTATTTAGGAAAATAAAAACAATTTTTCTTCGAAACATCGGAGATAATATATACCATATAATGATATAATAGTTAATATAAGTTGTAAATGTGCATATTTCTATAGTTTATCGATTAATATCTTTTCATTGTCATTGAAATGTAGTGACAGATTTCAGAGCAATGCAGAATTTGACACTAACTTTACGTTTTTGTTTAGCAATTTTTTAATCCCGATTTGTCACTATAGGCGTGTCCGGTATTTCGTTATCGCCTCTGGTCTGGATCGGAATATATCTCTTCTACAGGGCTAACGTAAGATTTGATAGGCTTGCTCGAACTAAACCGGTAACGATATCATTAGTATCTACTGGAACTTGTTAATTTTTTCGTGTGGCTATCAAAACCTAATCGTGCCAAATGGTAAGTCCGTATTATGCTTTTCCAGTCCTTGCATTCTCTCAATAATATTGTGACAATATTGTGATTGCAATATTGTGATTGAAATATCTTGTTTGTCTTCGAATTTTCAAACTAGCTACTTAAACAATAAAAAACTAGAATGCAGAAGTTTTCGAATGCAATTTACGGTCATTTATTTACACGTGATAGGACTTTTCATGCAGAATTACTTTTATAAGCCACTACCGTCAAATAGGGTACTAAGGCCAGGGTAGTAATAAGGGACAGTGTTGAATCTTGAATTGCTATGCAGGATCTACCCGACCTCAGTTCACAATTCTGGTGTTCACAACGAGTTAAAAACTCTTCTGCTTTGATCTGACTCCAAAAGATCTTGCTATAATAATTAGTCAGTCGTCAATGATACAAAACTGATTTACACTAATTATTTACTTTATTTCACTCAAAATTTCAAGCCTCCCAAAAGTTGACCATCGAGTTTATTAATGTCACTTGCAACCAGGATGGATTTCTAATATTGACGGTTCATATATTATTCCTGATACACCTACACCAGTTTTTCGATAAGGTAAACGTGGTATATTCCGACATCGTAGGTAATTCCATCACCTCTCCAGCTTTTCCTTTATATTAAGCTTTGTTATGTTCTAATTCAAAGCCGTGTTGTATCCCAATACAGCTCACACAGCAAATGGAATTCAAACACGTGGATGTCGGCAATACGTATCAGTTAAATTTGAAGCACTGATGCAATACAACTCACCAAGTGTCGAATATTGCCACACAAAGTGACAGAATATAGGGATTTGGTAGGTTTCCATTCTAAAGGCTTTTTAATAAATATGGCAACATTTTGTGACGTTTCATCGTTGCTTCCTCGTAGTGAAGTGTTTTGAGAGTCATGTGAAGGCAACAGAACTTACGTAACGCCATAGTGGCAAAGCAGAGTGTTTTTTAGACTCTGTCTCAAGTTCATTTTTGAGTCCTATAAGTAGACCAGTAAAGTATTCTGGATACCAGCATTATCATACAAAAGAAATTGGTTTAAATCTTGAGTAAATGAGGAAATTAAAAATTAACTGATTCTAAAAGATCTCTGGTTTGTCACTATGCGTAACGCATACGGTTTTTTTTATAGTTTTTCATTTCTCGATGCGTCCTTAATGTGTCGGAATATACCGCGTTTACCCTACAACATTATTTGAGGCAAAAAAATGAACTTCTTATAGGCTTAAAACACTATGATATGGGTATGTTAAGTTTCTATAAGCCATAAGGTAATTCACTTTGGAAATGTTGCGTGCCAGCAAGGCTGCAGGTGCAGCTTTCACTCAACAATTAAAATTATACAAAGTATTAGTTTGTTAAAGATTTGTCTTTTAATATGACTGCAAAGAAGTAAACTTGATAAAGTAATTACAGCTACTGTGACTACTTTTCCATGATGCACACACGATGACACAAAACATGCAATTCATGGGAGCGAGACTAAATAGAACAACAAAAGCAAGCACCCGGCATACAACTGCAAAAACGAGTGACAATCGCGGCCATGGTGCAATTCTATAGGTTATTCAAAAGAACCTGGTCTTATGTCATTTTGAACCGATCAACGCTTCTTTATGGACCGATCGTAAAACTCACCTTCACCGGCAAAAGCTTTCACACTTCTGAAGAGAGGTGAGCTGAGCAGCTGACGGGCGACAGCTACACTGGCCGTGGGTGGGCCTTATTTGAATTTGAATGCATGCATCGATTTGAAATCCTAGGTACGCATAGTATATATACAAGTCATAGAGCCTAAATTTTTAATATCTATGTAAAAAATGCACGTTTCTGCATGGATTATAATGCTGTTAACATTAACAAACTTTGAATTATCTCTGATGCAAGAAATACTTGCTTAAATAATTCTATTTTCAATATAAGCAAACGGATGCAACAATCGGTTTGCAAGAACCAACATAGCCCTGAAGCCTGAACAACAGTAATTTTGATTGATGTTAATTTCTAAATTAAAATGTATTTAACCAGTATTTCTTGCATCAGAGATACTTTCAAGTATTTCAATGCTAACAGCATCAAAATTCACGCAGAAACATAAACTTTTAATAGGTTTTACACTGTAATTTACGCTCCTAGTCCAAAGAACTGAGACCGATTTCAAATAAAAAATGACTAAATTGAATCCATCGCGCTTTCTGGCACCTTCTCTCACAGCTGATTGCAGTTGCAGTGCATTTTTTTAGCTTAAATTGCCAATACATATTTAATGTAGTTTTCTCTAGTTCCGTTGGTACAAAACTTACAAAACAACGTTGAATTATTGATTGCTAATTTCTGGCATTAGGTTAATTTTTCTGATTCAAATTAATCATAGAAGTTGTATCTCCATGATTCCATGCTGAATTAATATTACGAATGGAAGGTTCACATACAGGCTACAGTGATACAGATGCCAGCGCTAGCAGCGGTAATAAAATGAACTACTTTATTGTTTTAGTATCTTGACTAAATATATAATAATATCGTTTTCTATTTAGGTCCGGTCTCTTAAAGTGTTCCAGCAACATATTTTCCATTATTAATTATTTAAATGTATTAACTTGTGGCGCAGTAAGATATTAAATTGTTTGAATTTTAAACAAAGATTATGCTTCCACATCCAGATGCTAGCGCCAGCAGTGGCCATCAAAGGAACTATTTTATTGTTAGTATATTTACTATATAACTGTAATAATAACAATATATTATTCTGCTTAGGCACAGTCTCTCAAAATGTTGCAGAAACACATTTTCCATTGCTAATTATTTACATTTATTTGTTTGTGGTACAGCAAAATATTGCTTTTTTTTGTCTCCCACGTGTTCTTGTGTGTGACGTCACCGCTAGCCATATGTTTACATATGGCTAGCGTGAAGATGGGACCAGTTTGGTATTGAAATGGATGGTTATTTGTGAATAATATTTTCGATTGTGATATTATAACATATTTCTGATTGTGAAATAATTTTGATTGTGATATTGACACTTGACAGTAGTGTCAACATTTGAATATCGAAGTTCTAACATCATGAATTACGAGGTAAGAGTGTAAGGACTGAGCAAAGCTAGAATCATGGCTGAGGACTGAGGCTTAACCGATGTCATTGTCATTTTTTACGTCATTGATATCATTGTGGAACCAACATAAGTAACTAAGGAATTTCCCAGTTCAAATATTTATTGATTTATTACTATCAATTTCGAAACTCCACATATTTCTAAAGGGAGTTGTGATGAGACCATGGGGTCGAACTGTTGAGTTTAGACTATTACAACTTGCAAGAGGGGCCCAAGGGCCAAGGGCATGGGGCCTTGCGAAGGGTTAAGACCGCCGCACGGCGGTGGACCCATAAGTACTCACAATAATTCCCTGCCACCATGATCGCGGCAGCGGCGGCATGGTTCACAACGTTAATATACTCAATGCAAGAGAATGATTAATTATGATATTTCTGATAGAGATTTGAAATATTTTCGGAAGCCTAAAACTATAACAAATTATTTCGTTACTTTGACATGGTTGATTTCAAAATAAATATTTTAATGCGAAGTCATGAAAAACGTTTAAAATAAATTGAATAATGTTCATTTTTATCTATAGGTGGGAGTAATTCGAGTAAACAACTACAAATTGACTTATTATCCTTTAAATAAGAATCTTTGCATTGAAACTTCTGGAAGATGTGTCCACCGCAATATTTGTACAGTGGTATCAAGAGTCAAAGCCGTCAACCAATTGTTGGATGGTCGCAAATATGTCGCATCGTTCTACCTATTACAGTCAATAGAACCTAAATAAACTCTGTTCATCAAAAGGACAAGAAGCTTATGTATCAAACATACGTGATAGTAGGCTACAATAAATTTTGAGATCTCCAGATGATGAGACTTAAATTCATACTCATAGGTGATCTTGAATTTCTGCACTGCGTTCAATTAAGCAATTTGTAAAATCATAAATTTCAAATAGGTACCGTACCTACTTTTTCAATTTAATCCTGAATGAGTTGCGTCTGTTGAATCCTAATAGGGATCATTAATTTTTGCATCGTATTTCTGAAAATCAAATATTGCATTTCTTTTAAATTGAAAACATTCTTTTACATAAAAAACAATGATTTTTTTCTTACAGCTACTTTGTTAATTGATGATCTCACTCATATAACTTGATATTTTAAATTTTATAATTTTGTCATTTCGATGACTAAACTTTCTTTGGTTCATTAAAATAAAATAATTACCGGTACTGCTTATAAACAACCAACGTTTTCTAAAAGACGCAAGACCTTTGAAAACTCACCATGGGAGACAAAATCTTTTAGGATTTGAAGTGAAGTGAAGTTATTAAGACAA